AGACACCGCAAAACACACCACTGGATTCAGCACTGCCCACCAGAAAGACAATATCCAGCCACAGCCACCAGGACACAGTCACCAGTGTCCTCCACCAGGAAGCCTACACAAGCCACTGAACCAACCTTACCCATTGGGGGCAGACACCAAAAACAACGGGAACTACAAATCTGCAGCCTGTGAAAGGAGACTCCAAACACAGTAAGTTAAGCAAAATGAGAAGACAGGAAATAGGCAACAGATGAGGCAGCAAAGTAAAAAACAACCAGGCCAAACAAATGAGAGGAAGTAGGCAGTCTACCTGAAAAAGAATTCAGAGTAATCATAGTAAAGATAATCCAAAATCTTGGAAATAGAATGGAGAAAATACAAGAAATGTTTAACAAGGATGTAGGAGAACTAAAGAGCAAAGAAACAATGATGAACAACACAATAAATGAAATTTAAAATTCTCTACAAGGGGACTTCCCTGATGGCACAGTGGCTGAGAGTCCGCATGCCGATGCAGGGGACATGGGCTCGTGCCCCAGTCCGAGAAGATCCCACATGCCACGGAGAGGCTGGGCCCGTGAGCCATGGCCACTGAGCCTGTGTGTCCAGAGCCTGTGCTCTGCAACGGGAGAGGCCACAACAGTAAGAGGCCCGTGTACAACAACAACAACAACAACAAAAATTCTCTAGAAGGTTTCAATAGCAGAATAACTGAGGCAGAAGAACGGATAAGTAACCTGGAAGATAAAATAGTGGAAATAACTACCACAGAGCAGAGTAAAGAAAAAAGAATGAAAAGAATTGAGGACAGTCTCAGAGACCTCTGGGACAACATTAAATGCACCAACATTCGAATTATAGGGGTTCCAGAAGAAGAAGAGAAAAAGAAAGGGACTGAGAAAATCTTTGAAGAGATTATAGTTGAAAATTTCCTTAACATGGGAAAGGAAATAGTCAATAAAGTCCAGAAAGCACAGAGAGTCTCATACAGGATAAATCCAAGGAGAAACACACCAAGACACAAATTAATCAAACTATCAAAATTAAATACAAAGAAAGAATATTAAAAGCAGCAAGGGAAAAACAACAAATAACATACAAGGGAATGCCCATAAGGTTAACAGCTGATCTTTCAGCAGAAACTCTGCAAGCCAGAGGAAGTGGCAGGACATATTTTAAGTGATGAAAGAGAAAAACCTACAAAAAAGATCAGCCAGCAAGGATGTCATTCAGATTCCATGGAGAAATTAAAACCTTTACAAATAAGCAAAAGTTAAGGGAATTCAGCACCACCAAACCAGCTTTACAACAAATGCTAAAGGAACTTCTCTAGGCAGGAAACACAAGAGAAGGAAAAGACCTACAAAAACAAAGCCAAAACAATTAAGAAACTGGTAATAGGAACATACATATAAATAATTACCTAAAATGTAAATGAATTAAATGCTCTAACCAAAAGACATAGACAGGCTAAATGGATACAAAAACAAGACCCATATATATGTTGTCTACAAGAGACCCACTTCAGACCTAGGGACACATACAGACTGAAAGTGAGGGGATGGAAAAAGATATTCCATGCAAATGGAAATCAAAAGAAAGCTGGAATAGCAATTCTCATATCAGACAAAACAGACTTTAAAATAAAGACTATCACAAGAAACAAAGAAAGACACTACATAATGATCAAGGGATCAATCAAAGAAGATATAACAAATGCAAATATTTATGCACCCAGCACAGGAGCACCTCAGTACATAAGGCAAATGCTAACAGCCAGAAAAGGGGAAATCGACAGTAACACAATAATAGTAGGGGATTTTAACATCCCACTTTCACCAATGGACAGATCATCCAAAATAAAAATAAATAAGGACACACAAGCTTTAAATGACACATTAAACAAGATGGACTTAATTGATATTTATAGAACATTCCATCCAAAAACAACAGAACACACTTTCTTCTCAAGTGCTTATGGAACATTCTCCAGGATAGACCATATCTTGGGTCACAAATTAAGCCTTTGTAAATTTAAGAAAATTGATATCATATCAATTATCTTTCCTGACCACAATGCTATGAGACTAGATATCAATTACAGGAAAAAAACTGTAAAAAATACAAACACATGGAGGCTAAACAATACGCTACTAAATAACCAAGTGATCACTGAAGAAATCAAAGAGGAAATCAAAAATATCTAGAAACAAATGAAAATGAAAACACAAAATGACTCAAAACCTATGTGATGCAGCAAAAGCAGTTCTAAGAGGGGAGTTTATAGCAATACAATCCTACCTCAAGAAACAAGAACAATCTCAAATAAACGACCTAACCTTATTCCTAAAGCAATTAGAGCAGAATGAAAAAAAAAGCAAAGTTGGCAGAAGGAAAGAAATCATAAAGATGAGAGCAAAAAAAATAAAAAATAAATGAAGGAAACAATAGCAAAGATCAAGAAAACAAAAAGCTGATTCTTTGAGAAGATAAACAAAATTGATAAACCATTAGCCAGACTCATCAAGAAAAAAGGGAGAAGACTCAAATCAACAGAATTAGAAATGAAAAAGAAGTGAAAACTGACAGTGCAGAAATACATAAAGGTTTGTGACCACCTAGAGGGGTGGGATAGGGAGGGTGGGAGGGAGACACAAGAGGGAGGAGATATGGGGATATATGTATATGTATGGCCGATTCACTTTGCTATAAAGCAGAAACTAACACACCATTGTAGAGCAATTATACGCCAATAATGATGTTTAAAAAAAAAAAGAAATACATAGAATCATGAGAGATTACTACAAGCAACTATATGCCAGTAAAATGGACAACCTGGAAGAAATAGACAAATTTGTAGAAAAGCACAACCTTCCGAAATTGAACCAGGAAGAAACAGAAAATATAAACAGACCAATCACAAGCACTGAAATTGAAACTGTGATTAAAAATCTTCAAACAAAAGCCCAGGACCAGATGGCTTCACAGGCAAATTCTATCAAACATGTAGAGAAGAGCTAACACCTATCCTTCTCAAACTCTTCCAAAAAATAGTAGAGGGAGGAACACTCCCAAACTCATTCTACGAGGCCACCACCCTGATACCAAAACCAGACAAAGATGTCACAAAAAAAGAAAACTTCAGACCAATATTCCTAATGAACATAGATGCAAAACTCCTCAACAAAATACTAGCAAACAGAATCCAACAACACATTAAAATTATCATACACCAAGATCAAGTGGGGTTTATCCCAGGAATGCAACGATTCTTCAATATACGCAATTCAATCAATGTGATACACCACAATAACAAACTGAAGGATAAAAGCCATATGATTATCTCAATAGGTGCAGAAAAAGCTTTCGACAAAATTCAACACCCATTTATGATAAAAACTCTCCAGAAAGTAGGCACAGAGGGAACTTACCTCAACATAATAAACGCCATATATGACAAACCCACAGCCAACATCATTCTCAATGGTGAAAAACTGAAACCATTCCCTCTAAAATCAGGAACAAGACAAGGATGTCCACTGTCACCACTATTTTTCAACATAGTTTTGGAAGTTTTAGCCACAGCAATCAGAGAAGAAAAAGAAATAAAAGGAATACAAATCGAAAAAGAAGAAGTAAAATTGTCACTGTTTGCAGATGACGTACTTTATGTAGAGAATCCTAAAGATGCTACCAGAAAACTACTAGAGCTAATCAATGAATTTAGTAAAGCAGCAGGATACAAAATTAATGCACAGAAATCTCTTGCATTCCTATACACTAATGATGAAAAATATGAAAGAGAAATTAAGGAAACACTCCCATTTACCACTGCAACAAAAAGAATAAAATACCTAGGGATTAACCTACCTAAGGATACAAAAGACCTGTATGCAGAAAACTATAAGACACTGATGAAAGAAATTAAAGATGATACCAACAGATGCAGAGATATACCATGTTCTTGAATTGGAAGAATCAATATTGTGAAATTGACTCTACTACCCAAAGCAATCTACAGATTCAATGCAATCCCTATCAAACTACCAATGGCATTTTTCACAGAACTAGAACAAAAAATTTCACTATTTGTATAGAAACACAAAAGACCCTGAATAGCCAAAGCAGTCTTGAGAAAGAAAAATGGAGCTGGAGGAATCAGGCTCCTGAACTTCAGACTAAACTACAAAGCTACAGTAATCAAGACAGTATGGTACTGGCACAAAAACAGAAATATTATTGATCAATGGAACAGGATAGAAAGCCCAGAGATAAACCCATGCACATAGGATCACCTTATCTTTGATAAAGGAGGCAAGAATATACAATGTAGAAAATACAGCCTCTTCAATAAGTGGTGCTGGGAAAACTGGACAGCTACATGTAAAAGAATGAAATTAGGACACTTCCTAACACCATACACCAAAATAAATTCCAAATGGATTAAAGACCTAAATGTAAGGCCAGACACTATAAAACTTTTAGAGAAAAACATTTACAGAAACAGGATGACACTAAAACAAAATTGGGGAGGAAATTCACAGCCCTACAGGCATATATTAGAAAAGAAGAAAGTTCTCAAATCTGTGACTTCAGTTTCCACCTTAAAACACTAGAAAAAGATAAAATGAAACCCAAGATTAATCAAAAGAGGGGAAATAAAAAAAATCAAACCAGGAATCAATGAAATAAAATATAGGAAAACAATACAGAAAAGCAATGAAACCAAAAGTTGGTTCTTATGAAAATCAGTGCAGCTGATAAGCTTCTAGCCAGACTAATCAGGAAAAAGTAGAAGACACAAATCACCAATATCAGGGATTTTAAAAGGAGCATCAATACTTATCTCACAGACATTAAATATATGCCAATAAATTTGATGATGTGGGTTACTCATTGCTAAAGAAACAGTAAACTTTATTTGGTCATAAATATTTCACTTACCTAAATATTTAAGGAAATGTAATTCGTATTAATATAGCAAATAATGAACCAAAAAATAAGGATACATTCGTATAGCACCAGCTCTCGTCCCAATAGCCAAGATTTTCTGAACTGGATCAAAGGCTAATGCTGTGGGCTGATAAGGAAAACCATGCCGAACTGTCTGAAAGAGAGAAAACAGTGAAAATAGTCATCAGGGAAATAAAAATTAAAATCACAAGATACCACTATCCAACCACCAGAATGACTAAAATAATTATTTATTTTTTAAAAACTACTACCAAGTATTGTTGGTAGGAGTGTAAAATGACACAACCACTTTAGAAAAATGTGCTGTAGCTCTTTAAAAATTAGACATATACCTGTCCTATGACCTAGAAATTCCACTCCTGTGTATGTACCCAAGGAAATGAAGAGCATATGCCCACATAATAATTTGTATATGTCCCTAACAGCTTTATACATAACAACCTAGAAACAGCCCAGGTGACAATCAACAAGAGAATTCAAAAACAAAACTGTGGTGTATGCATACAATAGAATACTACTCAACAATTAAAAGATAAAAACTAATGACAGAAGCCAAAACATGGATGATTCTCAAATATATTATGCTAAGTAAAAGAAGCAATACACAAAGAGTACATATAGTATGATTACATTTATATTAAATTCTAAACAAGTAAAACTAACCTATGGTGAACAAAATCAGAACAGTGGTTGATTTGAGGAGAACTGACTGGAAGGGGTATGAAGGAACTTTATTGAGTGAAGGTAATATTCTATATTTTGACAAGGTTTGAATTACACACATGTATACTTTAGTCAAAACTCATCAAACAGTACAATAAAATTTGTGACAACATATAAATACATATATGAGTGTTCCAGTATAATTCTTTCAACTCCTCTGTATGTTTGAAAGCTTTCATAATAACACAGCGGGAAAGAAAGGAAAGAAAATATAAAGACTTTATAATATCACAAAAGAGATAAGACTAACATGTAAAAAAGGAATATACAATATTAGGAGCTAATTTCAATATGAAATGTTGAAATTTTCCAAAAAAATAGAGGACCCACATAGGTCAGGATAAAAGGGATTCTATACCTTGTTCAGCCACATATTTAGTGCTCCAAAAACTATTTTTAATGGAAATATCTTTATAATAAAATATTGCTTTTGTAAACATTGGAAGATGAAAAGATTAACTATAGCATGCAGTTTATCTAAAACTCATTCCCCAGAGAAAACACAGCAAGGAGTTCATTGCATAAACTCCCCATTTTCTTTTAAAGCATATATGAAGATATATGCATACGCATATTAACTAATATATAACCAGATCTGTAATCTGGTTTTCTCCCTTAGCAGTATATCATAGAAATATTTCCACAAAAAATATGTTTAGATGTATAATGCTTCAACCTATTTAAAAGTTGCAGAGCTTATTATAGTATGAATATACCACAATGTCTTTAACCAACCAACCACTGTTCTATAACCTCCAAAGAATTCTCAACTAAGTTGGTTAAAAAATTATTACTAAGAAGACCCATTTTCTATTCATGATCCTTAACTGAGGTGTTTCCCTTTGATTCTGAACTGTCCTTCTTATTTTGACTTATAAACAGAATTGTCAACAGGAAGATATTCATAATCTTCATGCAGATCAATGTGGATAGCAATAATCGAATATAGTTTCTCTCAAAAAAAAACAGAACAGGTGGGAACACTTCCCAACTCACTCTATGGCCAGTATTACCCTGATCCCAGAAACAAAGTCATCACAAGAAAAGAAAACTAAATACCACTAATTCTTAATTAATATAGGTATAAAAATCCCCAATAAAATATTAGCAAACCAATTCCAGCAACATATAAAAAGGAAATACAATGTGACTTGGTAGAATTTATCCCAGGAATGCAAGGTTGGTTTAACATCAAAAAATTCATGTAATATCCTATCTCAATAGAACATAGGGCAAAAATCACATGGTCACCTCAATAGATGCAGAAAAATTATTTCAGAAAATCCAACACCCACTCATGTTAAAAAGCACTGAATAAACAGAACTGTAGAGAACTTCCTCAATCTGATAAATGGCATGTACAAAAAACCTACAGCTAACATCATACTAATTAGTGAAAGAATAAGTGCTTTCCCTCTAAGATCAGGAATGAAACAAGTATGTCCGCTCTTGCCACTTCTACATCCTATCCAGGGCAATTAGGCAAGAAAAAAAGAAAGACATCAGATTTTTTTGAAAAAGGAACTAAAACTATCTGCAGATGACATGATCTTGTGTATATAAGCCTAAGAAATACACTGAAAAATTATTAGAACTAATAAAGAAGTTAAGCAAGATTACAAAATTAATGTACAAATCAATTATATTTCTATATACTAGCAATGCACTATCCAAAAATGAAATTAAGAGAACAATTTCATTTACAATAGTAGCCAAAGGAATAAAATATTCAGTAATAAAATGAACAAAAGAAGTACAAAACTTACATGCTAAAAACTACAAGACACTTTTGAAAAAAATTTAAGACAACCTAAATAAAAGAAAGGCTTCTCATACCCATGGATTAAAATACTACTGTTAAGGTGACAATACTCCACAGATTGATCTTCAGAATCAATGCAATCCCTAACAAAACCCCAGCTGGCTTTTTTTTGCAGAAATTGACAAGTCGACCCTAAGATTCATATGGGTATTCAAGAGGCCCAGAACACCAAAATGATCTTGAAAAGGAAGAACAAAGTTGGAGCATTCACATTTTTAAAATTTAGACAAATCTACAGTAATCAAGACAATGAGGGACTGGCATAGGATAAACATATAGATCAATGGAACAGCACTGAGATTCCAGAAATAAATGTTCACATTTTCAGTCAGTTGATTACTGCCAAGGGTGCTAAGACAATTCAATGAGAAATGAACAGTCTTTTAATAAATGATACTGCAACAACTGGATATCAACATGCAAAAGAATCAAGTTGGACTAATATATACAAACTAACTCAAAATGGATCATAGACCTAAATGTAAGGACCAAAACTATAAAAATTTTAGAAGAAAACATACGCTTAAATCTTAGTGACTTAGGATTAGGCAATGGTTTCTTACATATGACCCAAAAGGCACAAGCAATAAAATTAAAAATAGATAAACTGAACTTCGTGAAACTTAAAAACTTTTGTGCTGTAGAGGATACTATCAAGAAAGTAAAAAGACAACCCAAAGAATGGGAGAAAATATTTGCAAATCATATATCTGATAAGGAATTTATATCCAGAATAAATAAAGAACTCTTACAACTCAATAATAAAAAGACAAATAACTCAATTGAAAAAATGGGCAAAGGATCTTAATAGACACTTATCCAAAAATATATATATAAATGACCAATAAGCACATGGTAAGCCATTAGTAAATCATTAGCCATTAGTAAACTGCAAATCATATCCACAATGAGCTATAATGGCATACTCACTAGGATGGATACAAAAAAAGATATTAATACAGGCTGACTAAGATGTAGAGAAATTGGAGCCTTAATACATTACTGGTAGAAATGTAAAATCATGTAGTTTCTTTGGAAAATAGTTTGGCATTTCCTCAAAATGTGAAATAGAGTTACACTATAACCCAGGGATTCCACTCCTGGGTATATAACCAAGGAAAATAAAAAAGAAATCCATATAAAACTTTTATACAAATATTCATAGCAACATGACGCAAAATATTCAAAAAGTAGAAACAACTCAAACATTCATCAACTGATGAATGAGTAGATGAAATTTGTATGTCTGTACAATGGAATATTATTCATCAATAAAAGCAACTGAAGTATGATACATGCTACAACAGGGATGTACCTTGAAGATGAAAGAAGCCAGTCATATATTGTATAATTCCATTTACATGGAATGTACAGAATAGAAAAATCTATAGAGACAGAAATTATTGGGTTGGCCAAAAGGTTCATTCAGTTTTTTCTGTAAGATGGCTCTAGTAGCTCTTAGTCATCTTTAACTCTATTCAAAACAATTTTGTTAGATTGTATGTGACAGCTGTCATATCAGTGTGCATTTAAAAAAAGCCATCAAAATTGGTGAATTTTTTTTTTTTTTTTTTGCTGTACACGGGCCTCTCACTGTTGTGGCCTCTCCCGTTGCGGAGCACAGGCTCTGGACACACAGGCTCAGCGGCCATGGCTCACGGGCCCAGCCGCTCCGTGGCATATGGGATCTTCCCGGACCAGGGCACGAACCCGTGTCCCCTGCATTGGCAGGCAGACTCTCAACCACTGCGCCACCAGGGAAGCCCAAAATTGGTGAATTTTTGTGTAGCCATTTTAAAATTGAAGATGGAAGAAAGCAAGCAACATTTTCAGCATATTACTCTGTATTATTTCAAGAAAGGTAAAAACGCAACTGAAACGCAAAAAAGATTTGTGCAGTGTATGGAGAAGGTGCTGTGACTGATCAAATGTGTCAAAAGTGGTTTGCAAAGTTTTATGCTGGAGATTTCTCGCTGGACGATGCTCCACGGTCATTAGACCAGTTGAAGTTGACAGCAATCAAATCGAGACATTAATTGAGAACAATCAACGTTATACCCCTCTGGAGATAGCAGACATACTCAAAATATCCAAATCAAGTGTTGAAAATCATTTGCACCAGCTTGGTTATGTTAATTGCTTTGATGTTTGGGTTCCACATAAGTTAAGTGAAAAAAAAACTTCTTGACCATATTTCCCATGCGATTCTCTACTTAAACATAATGAAAACTTCCGTTTTTAAAACAAATTATGACGGGTGATGAAAAGTGGATACTGTACAATAATGTGCAATGGAAGAGATCCTGGGGCAAATGAAATGAACCACCACCAACCACACCAAAGGCCAGTCTTCATCCAAAGAAGTTGATGTTGTTTATATGGTGGGATTGGAAGAGAGTCCTCTATTATGAGCTCCTTCTGGAAAACGAAACAATTCCAACAAGTACTGCTCCCAGTCAGACCAACTGAAAGAAGCACTTGATGAAAAGCATCTAGAATTAGTCAACAGAAAACGCACAGTCTTTCATCAGGATAATGCAAGGCTGCATGTTTCTTTGACGACTAGGCAAAAACTGTTACAGCTTGGC